CTTTTGTATTTCTCCAGAACACTATAGTACAAGTGACATCCTCCTTAAATGTCCAGACATTTCCTCCTTGACCTGACTTGCAATCCACAGTGAAGCGTAATAAGTTCAGTGCCCAGTCACCAGCCAGGGGTCTTCCTACAGTCTCAGCCCCCCCCCCCTTTTTTTTTTTTGGCAGAACACTGAACAGTGTAGGTGTAAAAAGAACACAGTATAAACTCCTGAGACAAGACAACAGTCTCTCAAAGTGCGAAAGACTCAACATCGCAAAACCACTTTAGATCTCCATGCAACAGTGTTGACGATAGATACTCAGGCTTTCAAAACCACCTTTCTTTCCAGAGTCATACTGCAAATGCCTATTTTGTGAACAAATTTCCTCCAACAAAAAACAGCCATAGCACTGAAAGGTTACTGGTAGCATTTTCACATAACCTTTATGATATTTAAGTTATTACAAGTCATATTTTTCATCTGATGGAAACATACCTTTGTTCTCTTTTGTACACAAAAATCCCAAGGATAGGTAAAATATTTCATAAAACCTGAAAAAAGCTAGTTAACTAAGTCTATTCTGTAAAAATTAGATCCTCTGAAGCATGGCATCAGAACCAGCAAATAATGAAAAAAGGTATGCAGGTTGGAATATCCACAATGAAATGTGTCACTTGGTATAAGCTCATTTTAGATGGTAAAATACTCAAGTCTTGTTGAAATATCATGTATAAATGTCAAGATATTTTTAACGATCAAAAGGTAATATATTTTGACTAACCAAAGTCCCATATAAGCATGACGGAGTACAGGACAGAAAAGCATTTCAAAACAAAGCCAAAGATAGGTTTTGTTTACTTTTTCCCTTTAAGGGACAGGAAAAAACAATTGAATGCTGAAACAGCTGATACCGCTTTCAGAAAGTTTATTTCCTCTTTTTTCACCAGATCATGGGAACATCCTCAGTTCAGCAAACAATGAATGAGCAAACAAACCAGCTTATTATTACCTGCTTCAGTGAAACACATAGGCTAACATTTGGTCCACAAACCGAAATTTTCAAAGTGCGTATGCTGGCTAGGAGTATGAAAAATGTTATTATTGTAACCCACACAATAATCCGCCGGGAGTTTTCATGCAGATGCAGTTATACCGGCAAAAGGCAAACAGAAAATAAAGTAATATACCCAGCCAAGGAGGGTAAACACACACAAAATTGGTTTTAGGTGTATCTGCATTAGGGCAAGCTCCTCCCAACGCCACTTCCATGGAAAGTGCTTTCAGGAGTACACAAGTCTTAACCAGCCAGAATCTAGAAATGAAATTACTTCAAATTTCCATATTTTTTCTAATTAGAAGTTCTATTTTATTTTTAATTAAAATGACACATATCTTTCTTTTTAAGTGTGCTTCTTTCACTTCTCCTTTTTTTGCTTGTATGCTTATTTGTTGAAGTTTTGTCAATGCGCATGAAGATAAAAGACAGACATACTGTGTTTCCAGTACTGAAGAAAATTTGCACCAAACGTGCAAGCATGCTTTTAGATAATGCAGTTTCGTGCAACGGTGAGGTTGAAAAGTCCACAGCTCCCTAAGCAGAATTTTGCACTGGGGACAACTGTGGCCCCAGTGATACATAGTTCCCTCCCAGCCCGCTGCAGAAGAGGGGCCAAGCCAGAGGCAGGGGAAGAACAGAGCCATCAGCAGCAGCGACACTCGTTCAGTACAAAGAGCATGAGCAATTACTTGGCAAAAGTGCAGCCGAAGAAAACTGAAAGCTACTGTGCTAGACATCATAAATAAGATCTTCCTCTCCCATGGGAAGGAATTATGATGCCCCAAGAGTCTGATGTTCTCCTACTCAAAAAGGAGAGGAAGACACTAGAAAGCATTAAATCCTTAAAATTGTTTCTCTGCCTTCCCTCCCCACTTCCTCCAGCAAGCTTTTTTCTTCCTGAAGGATTAATCGAGAGTTGTTTCAGCAAACATGTTGGTTACAAGCTTCACTTCAGTCCAGCTGCGGGGAAGAAGAAATGCCGTGTGCGCTATGCAGTCCATCACAACGTGCAGCGAACAGGCCGCCTTCTGAACAGTTTTGGGTTTTTAACTGAACAAGTACAGACAATAAAACACTTCAGAGATCCCTTCATAAACAGGCTCTGCGGGAAGAAGGACATCTGAGGACAGCGTGATTCTTGTTTCTGTTTGCACAGCAGCACTCCCTGACCAACATACTTTTCCTTCCAAGGCTTTTTCCTACAGGAGGAACACCTTTGGGAAGGTGACACGCCAGTAGGCCCACGAGAGCACGGGCTGATCGCGCTGCTGTCGCTCCCCGATGGCGGCTCCACACTGAGCAGGCTTCCCGGAGAGGGGCCGATGCCCAGGGGGGCATCTGGACAACACGCTGGTCACCCCTGCGGCAGCTGGGCTAGGCGATCGCTGCAGACCCCCTCAACTGACCCATCTGTTCTGTTGAACTGTCTGTTACCATGGGGCCAATGAACTCCGTTACACTTTCTCCTTAAACAGTTCTTAAAAAAACTAGAGAAAAATCAAACTTTCATACTCTGCAAACTCTGCATTTCTTCAGCCTGGGAAGGAACGTGCCCCCCAGATCCCATGCTCAGTTAGAGGCACAAGACACTGTAATGAGGACAGAAGCGAACTCTGAGGGAAAAATCGGTTTCTTCTCAGTGTTCACAAGAATTACAGTTTTTGAGGGGGAGGCAAAAAAAGATATTTAAATTCAAATAGTAAAATAAAACCAATGTTACACCTATATGCGAGAGACATTTGCAAAGCCAGCCCATCTGTGCAGAAGTATGAGCCCTGGAAAAGCGCCAGGGTTTCCAAGTGTGACCTGCTGTGCAAACGCTGATTATGCAAGTTAAACCTGTCTGGGGTGGATTTATGTTCCCTATTTTCCAGGGCTCCAAATAACATTCCTTTACTTACAGAAACCACGTCAAACTCCAAACTTTTACCTGACAAGTTTTCAAAGATTCTTGACAAGTTCTGTAAAACACCGTTCCTTTCTGTTTGCAAAATGAAAACCACTTTATTCCAAATAAGAAACTGAAGCAAAAGTGTGTATCCAAAAACTTTAAGAAGGATCAAGTCCTGGTCACTTGCGTTTCAATCATTTACAGAAACTTCTATGGTTTATTTAAAACCAACAAAAATCTCTTCTCAGTGTGACTAGTTATTTAAGCATGCATATCCACCATTATCTTGAAACTCTAACAAGAACTCCTTAAAAGTCAGCAGCTGCCTAGCATCATAGAACAGTCCAGATTGGATGGGACCTCACCTTGCAAAGCAAGGCTGCTCAGAGCCCTGCCCAAATCAAAACTTCACGTATTTCCAGGAACAGAGATTCCACTGCCTCTCTGGGTGACTGCTCCAGTCCCTGGTCACCCTCTTTATCCAATTCTTTTTTCTAATACCCAAAATTGTTTTTTCCTGAGGCAATTTCTATCCATTGACCATAATACTTTCACTGTGCACTTCCAAAATTAATCAATCTTCTCTACAAACACCCACTAAGTAGCTGAAGACAGCAGAAAGATGTCTCCTTCGCCTTCTCGTCGGGGGCTAAGCAAACCTGTCTCTCTGCTGCTCCCACACATCACGTCTGCCAGCCTCGAGCTGTCCACATCGGCTGTGCTCGCTCCAGTTTCTCACCACTGTTACTGTCATCATTTCATGTCATTTAAAAAAACCTGACTGTACTAAAGAGGACCAAGCAGTAAGGTGACAGTTTAAAGACTGAGTGGTTATTCCACGTGAAATGTGTTATAAGCAAAGAAAAACACGATGGTGCACCACCTTGGTATTAGAACGTATCAGCCAGGCTTTATACACTGGAAGAGCCCCATGCTGCATTTTTTCTCCCATTTTATTTTAAGAAAACTAGGTTTTATGTACACATGCCTATTAAAATCCAACAACAAGAAGCTGTTAGAAATACACAATACCAGAGTGCTGCTCAAGCAGCTGGCGAGTGTTCGTGGCAAGGGCGTTGCTGGCAGCAGCAACAGCATAAGCTCGTGCTTCCAAGACAACTGTTCTGTAAAGTCCGGGTACTGACTTGTCCTCTAAGAGACTGCGATGACCTCAGATTTCCACCTTGAATATGAATCTGCTCTGAGAACTAAGTTGGTGTAATTTCACCAGAACAGCACTGCTGCAATCTGTCAGTAAACAGCAGCAGCTAATTCTAATAGCTGGGGGTCACCTTTGTCCACCATGCACACAGGCACGTGTTCTTCCCCTTCCGAGAAGAGACTATGAAGTGAAATGACCTGGATGAGGGTAAAGACAGTGTCTCCAGTGAGAGTCACAATAGATATTTTAGTTGTAAATTCTACTAGTCTGGAAAAAAACCAGATTTTACTACCTATGATATTTGAGCAGTAGAGTTTGATTTATAATTATTAAGGACTAATGTAAAGTTTTTCCCTTTCTTCTTTTTTTTTTTTTTTTTTTACCTGTGTGTACTGCTGACTAAATTGTTATATTTCATCTAGAATGGATCTCCTGCAATGTGCAGGCAGCTATAAAATACTACAAATGAGCTATTTTAATTTTTTAGAACTTTTAACAGCACATATTAACTTTCATTCTGTTTACGTCTAGAGGTTATAGTTGCAACTGTAAGAAACTAAAATGTAATTCATATTTAAATTAAAACACCAATCTTGGAAACTTTTGTGGTACTTGCTGGAACAAAGGACTCTTCCAATCCTGGCATTTATCACTTTGTTTTTTGAGGTTCTTGGCAGGCTTTAGATAAACTAGCAACCATTAACTACAGTTCTGGCCGTAGACTGATACAGCTATTCCCCATGATGTCCCTTTAGCCAACAACAAAATTATCTCATTTGTACACAGGCATACTAGGTACTACGTAGGATTCTGTAAATTTTCAAACAGATTATCAGTTGTAAGTCGGCATTTATTTCCTATTTGTTACTTACTGTTAAATTTATTTTAAAACAGATTTGAAAAAGTTCTTTGCAGAAGAACGCTTGACCAGAACAAGAGGATCATGATGACAAGATTCATCTGTTTAGTGCTGCTAGCTGTTGGGGGAGCGACTGCAAGCAAAATGCAGGAACTCGAAGGCAATGACGAGGAAACGGAACAGGAATTCATTTATATGAACAGATACAAGCGTTCCAGTGACACACAGGACAAATGCACTTACACCTTCATTGTACCTCAGCAGAGAGTGACGGGTGCCATCTGTGTTAATTCTAAGGAGCCTGAAGTTCTACTTGAAAACAGGGTAAATAAGCAAGAATTACAGTTACTTAACAATGAACTTCTTAAACAAAAGAGACAAATAGAAACTCTCCAGCAGCTGGTAGAAGTTGATGGTGGGATTGTTAATGAGGTCAAGCTCTTAAGAAAAGAGAGCAGAAATATGAATTCTCGTGTCACACAACTCTACATGCAGTTACTACATGAAATTATCCGAAAACGTGACAACGCCTTAGAACTTTCTCAACTCGAGAATAAGATTTTGAACCAAACTGCAGATATGCTGCAGCTTGCAAACAAATACAAGGACTTAGAGCACAAGTACCAACATTTGATGTCAATTGCCAATAATCAGTCAGTAATAATTGCCCAACTGGAAGAACACTGTCAAAGAATGCCATCCATAAAGCCACTGCCACAAACTCCACAGCCACCAAATAAAGTGTACCAGCCTCCTACTTACAATCGCATTATTAACCAGATAGCTACCAATGAGATCCAGAGCGATCAGAACTTAAAGGTTCTGCCACCTACGTTACCAACTATGCCTGCAGTTACTAGTATTCCAACTTCAACTGATAAACCATCTGGTAAGTAATATTATTGATATGTCTACATTAGCTTATGCCAGTATGCAGTGGACAACATTTTAACTGTAGTATCACAAATGCAGACAATTTATTTAGCAAAATAAATGCAAATTAATTATTTTGACCTCATCGAGATTTCTTAGATCTGATATTGTCTGTCTATCTTGTGTATTTTTACGTGTTGTAGTGCAAACAGAGAAAGAAAGCAAAAAAAATGAATTCCAAATGTCTTAACAGATTCAGACACACTAGCCCCACAGATTTTTCTCATGGTACTTTGCCAAGACAACCCCACCATTTATAGGAGATGTATGAGATAAAGGAGCTGCAGAAAAATATGAATAATCAACAGTCTATCATCTAAATTTTAGGTACCTCTACCCAAGACCTAACTGCTATAATTCATAACATCTGAAGGGGTTTGACACTTTTGGTGTAAACATTTATGAAGTTATTACAAGTTTGTTGATCTAGCATGTGATAATTTTTGTGCTTGTGTAACTGGAAAAGGAATAGGTATCTGCTCTGTACCTCACATGGGGCACTTGCACTCTAAGACAGGAGCAAAGGGAAGCAAGCGGTGGAACAGTCAGGGATACTATACAGCCCTCCATAAGAGCCCTAGGAGTTCTGCCATGAGCAAGGTAAGAGGCACCAAAGTCACATTAGAGATCAATTGATCTACATGATAAAGAAATATCAGGTACAGAACCCAGTGTGACCTATGGTGCCACGTATTAAAAAAAAAATAGTTCAAGTATTATGTGTCCCATACAACAGAAGTCTGTTCTTCAGCATGTGGGCAACATGTTCTTGCTTCAGAAAAAAGACAGGGGACCCACGGACATCTAAGAAACTAAGATCTGAAACAGAGTAAGGCACATGAACTGCATTCGGAATATATTTCAAGGCTATTTGCAATACAATCCAAAACACAGACTCTTCAGAATTATCAAATAATGCAACTGCCACATTTAAAAAATAAAAGACTTATTTCTGCATGGAAATATCCACCACGAAAGAAACTTGAGCAGCTGTTTCAGTCTAAAGCACAGTCTCCAACACTTTGCTACAAAGCAGTGATTTCACAATATTGCCGGAGATGAACTCACCAAAGCCTGCATTGTGGCATGTAGAAGCTCAGACAAAAATATCATTATTCTAATGTTCTATGTTAAAAAAAAAAAATCAAGAGAAAAATCAGGTCTATTACGATTTATTTGGAACAACACACTACAGGATGGCCTCTCTTATTTTGACTTTGATCTCAAAGCAGGTTCAAGCTTAGTAACAGTATTTCCCTATCGTTCTGTAAATGGAATATTTTCAAGTGTTCTTTTTAAGACCTCCCCCCTTCTCCATTATTCTAAGATTTGACATCTGCCACTTCTCCCTTATCTACATAACTTAGAAAGTTTCACCTTTCTTCTGACCAAATGCATCATAATACTGATTTCTCTCCTTATTTTCTCGTATGCAGCAGTTTCATTTGTTCAAGCATGTCCCATAAGTGAAGTTAAGCTATTTAACCTTTCAGTTCCAGGGTATCCTCCTCCCCTCTCCTCACCTTTCTTTGTGGGCAAGGAACGTTTAATACCTTTTCTCATCCTCCAGAATGTTCTCCACTCACAAAGCACATCTCAGACAAAATCCGTCCCCACAATTAATGCTGTAAATTATGCTTCAGACAGGTGTCTGGAATGAGCCCAATTTTTTTTCAAAAACATGCAATATCTGTTACTGCTGGCCAACCAGTAATATGACTGGCACAGTCGGATTTACCCCAGTCAAAAACCAGGAATCTGAACTGGAGAGCATAAGAACTGCCACAGAAATAAATTTAACCAACTTGCAGAGAGTTCTGTACACATCGCTTATCATAAAGTGCTCATCTTTTTTCTACATGAATATTTTTTGAAACAACCTACTTCACAAGTTACTTATAACTCAGTTCAGAGCAGCGACCCTTCCTGTAACAACCTGACACAGCACCGGGGCACTGGACCCAAAGGAAGGTACTTCAGAACAAAACGTTATTATCACTATGATCTAAAACAAGACAGTCATTAAGAAGCGTTTCTCTGTCATGTTT